TCCTTATTTGTACTCTCTCTCTCTCTCTTTTAAAACTCTTTTCAGTTCAATGTCTCTTTAGTTCAGTGGTCAGTCAATTAGTCAGTTAGCAGGTCCCGGAATTCGCGGATCTTGACTTACTTGACTTAAGGTCTTATGTCCCCTAGATGGGGCAGAGGGCGTCCACAACAGTCCTCCATCGCGTTAGGTCTTGAGCTTCGCGTTTGATCTCGCTCTAAGTCTTGCCGATCTTCTTCGCCTCGCAATAGAATTCGCGGATCTAAGTCCCCATAAAGATTTTTTTAAGTGAAAAATCGTGCCTGATACTCTCTTCTCGGTCCGCTTCATTTCATTCTTAGCGGTAGTTCATAGCATGGTTTGCATTTTAGCTTTTATTAAAACTACGAGTACATGCTTATTTAAATATTAACTTTTTTGATTCATCACTCAGTGCGTTCAAAGCTTAAATAAGCCAACACGTGATGTACATACTGTTTGCTCATTTGTTGAAAAAGCCCAGAGTTGGGACCAACAAGAAAGGGTTATATTATTGAATGCAATTATGGGGGAAGTAGGCAGGATTATACAAAGTCTGTTCGGCACCAGTTTCAGTGGCATGACAACACTCATTGGGTTTTTGGCTACTTCGGCAGAATTTCAACTCTTTTGCTTTCCTCCAGTACAAGGTTTCGTTTCAGCCAAATGACGTCCACTTCTGGACAAAGGCCTCCCCCAAGGTTTTCCATAATAAACGGTCCTGCGCTGCCCGCATCCAGGCTCTTCCTGCGACCTTTACCAGATCGTCGGTCCACCTAGTAGGAGGCCTGCCCACGCTACGTCTCGTAGTCGCCACTCGAGAACTTTCCTGCCCCAACGGCCATCGTCTCTACGAGCTATGTGCCCCGCCCACTGCCAAATGCAAGGTTTAATACTTCAAAAACATGTTTATTTTGCTTTCAGCATCAGCATAGTAAACGCAGGCTAGGCTTGTGATACAACGTGAGGTTGAACAAGAGTTGGGAGTGTGACGATTTTTTTATTAAATGCGATAGATGGCATCAGCAGTATTATACACATTTTGGATATGATTTGAACATCAGCTCTTCATTTTTCTTCCAATCCTAGGCTTAATCCTGCAAATAAACATGTTATGCCGAATTAATAGATAAATGTTTGTAAAACACAATGTTGCTATGCCCAAACCGGGTCTATGTTTGATACTATACATAGATTGTGTATGACCTTATGTACAACATGGAATGCAATAAAGATATTATTGACTATTGACTATTATTCTGAAGAGATAAATCTTCATCATAACTTCAGCCTATCTTGGTCGTCCACTGCTGGACATAAACCTCTCCCAAGAGACACTAAAAAGCAGAATTTCCCAGTATCTCCCTGTTTTTATTCAGACTGCAAGAGTTCTTGATTTTCTTTTGGAGAGATGCAGTTTGTTAATAATTTAGTAGGTCGACTGGAAAGAACTGGAGTTTGTGATAGTCAAATGCTCTAGGGACTTAATTTTGTTGGAATAAAAAGACTTTAGCTCTCTAGGGAGATAGTTTCCGCCCTGAGTTTATATTCTGAGTGCAGCATCGCCACATAACCACTTGTTCCCATTCTCGCTAGGGAAGTAGAGTATTAATAAAGAAGTACTTATCTTTTTCCTACAACTTTGTTCGCGTTAATTTATTAACCATTACCTCTAACCCAAGCCTCTAATGAACGTTTTCACCATCAATTTCTTATTTTTAAGTGATCCCTATGACAATAAAATTCATATTATGTGTTACCATAGGGGTCACTTAAAAAATAGGGATTGATGGTGAAAACGGGCATAACTCTATCATATGCTATAAGCATATTAATAAGTGTTATTTTGACATTCGAAAGTTTCATCAAAATACGTCCAGTGCGTGAAAAAGTAATAAACACCCATTTATTCTCACAAACCTTACTTTCATGTTATGATACAAATAGTGAGATGGTTTATCTGTGATCACATTATTCTTAGTATATTTATTATTGTAGCTGTATCTGCAGACCTAACATACAGTTTTAAGTAAACACCGTTTCAAAATAGTTAACACCGTTAATCGGTTTCTTTTTGCTTATTACATGGTCATGCATTCAATATTTGGTTGGTTTAAACCAATGTTTAAACATGAAAAAAAAAACTGAGAAAAACTGTATAATATAATAAAAGTTTAAGTCTGATTTTTTTTTAAAGTCTATCTTTCGTAGTTGAAGACGCGCCCCACCATTCTTCCGCAAACTTTTGAGTGCTAACGGTACACCCTAAATTATCGATGAGTGCACACGCACACTACAATAATGACGCTCGGATTACACGGATTAAACTCCCCGCACCCCGCGCTTCTCAAAGTCAAAGTCAAAGTCAAAATTTCTTTATTTGTTTGGACTAATAAATAGTTCTTACAAATCGTCATTTTTCTCTCGACCAAAAATTAGTGCGGCGCGTCGTCGTGGATGAAATGGTTTATACAGTGTATTGGATTCACAAGGTACAGAAGACACAAGCAAATCCGTACTAAGTGTTACTTAAATTTATACCAATCCACTCCGAAGTCCATACATTAGTGTTCTCCACGTCAACAATTAAACAGGGTCTCATGAATGTTGATACGAACAAATGTATGCCGTCGTAAACTGGACGCCGAATATAAACGATCCTGAATGCTGATGGTGAGTCTGGTTTGAGGTACTTTCTAGAAGATCCTTCTTTGATTTATGGGTTCTTGGGATTTATCTTCGTGTTGGTAGATATAGGTATTTAACAAAAAATATAAATTAAAAAATTGTATTTATCAGAAAAAAATTGGATTTTAAAGGTGAAAGAATTATTCAAATTGATCTAGTAATACAAACATACAAATACAAATATATCTCCTCTTTACAATATTAGTGTAGATGTAAGACTAGATTTTGCCCGCGGCTTCCTTCTTTCAAAAATCGGGATGAAAACTATCGTATGTTTTTTTGGGTCTCAAATGTAATAAATCTAAATAGGTTCAGTTTTTTCGTTAAGCCTGAAAAAATAGCAGAGACAGGTAGAATTACTTTCGCATTAGATAATGTTAGGCTGGGTTGCACCGTTTATTGTTAAAGTTACGGTCAAAGGTAGGTGGTGCAACTCAGCCTTAGTGTGGTTAAAGTTGAACCAAAATCACTCGTGTCTATTAAAGAAACGATTATACGAGTACATATTAGGCGTCGAAGAAAGTAGAAAGCATAGTTACTGTCTCTAAGGTATAGGTCGAAAGTCGTGCGTGTCGGTTCGTTTATGGGCTGCTTTATGTTGACCGAACGCACGCGCACAATTTATGGCTAAGTTTAGGGCCGACAAATACGTCACGGGACTATTCCCACCTCTCGTTCCCATCGCTGCAACTCCTGTGTAGCCAGGATCTACAGGTTGACCGCCAATAAAATAACACAACACGACAAAAACGTTATATTATATTAAAAAATATTTTTTTATTTTATTTATGGATTATATTATTTTATGGATATGCAATGAAACTCGTGGTTAAAAGAAAACAAAGAAGGGTTAAAAAAACAAACAAGGCAGGAATTTGACCGTAAATTGTATGAATCAAAAATAAATTACTTTATTCAAAAAATTGCTTGACACTAGAACTACTGCTTTACTTAATGAGTGACAGTAAATCATGATTTAATTTTATCGCCATGGCATTTCCAGCTGACGAAAAGTAAACTTTTAATATGTTAAACAGTTAAAAGGCTTAAGGAAAAAACAAACGTAGGTAAGTAATATCAAATTTCCCACTTTTGCGTTAAGCTGATTCTGATTATGTAGACTGTAGAGGGAAAATAGTGAACCAATATGCATACAAAAAAGAACGATAAACCCAAGGTCTTAACAATGCAATAGCAAGATTATAATTGCATTTTTTTATTAACTCATTCTTTTAAAAACTTATTATTTTATTGAAAGGTGAATGGTACGCTCATATTATACTTACTTACTCGTAGGAATGTTAGCTAGCTAGGCCTTTAACGGGGTTTACAAGTCCATTTTTTTTATTATTTTCGGACTTTAAGACAAAAGAATAAAGTTCAAAATATGGTGGGAACTATATTTCCACTTCTGTATAAACCTGACCTGAAACGAACCTAGCTTTGTGTTGAAATTAAAGCCGAATTGAAGAAAAATACGTGAACTAAAGATGCCAATATTATTTTATATCCTACTAAACTTCGAATTAAGAGTTCCTCGTTTTCGTCAACCCTAATGTTGACCAAAAGCCCGCGCACGCTTTTTACGGCCCAGTTTACTTTTGTATCTGACGTAAATTGAGTATTTTATGAACTAGGCTTGCACATCCTTTAGAAAGATGGGAGACGATCGCGAACATAAACATTACTTTTATTATCATCATCATCATTTCAGCCATAGGACGTCCACTGCTGAACATAGGCCTCCCCCAATGCTTTCCACGTTGCTCGATTGGTAGCGGCCTGCGTCCAGCGCTTTCCTGCGCGCTTACTTTTATTTTAAGGGTGTCAATTGGGCTGGTATGTGAAAAATTTTACTAGATTATTCCTTCGTTCGTTTCAGCTGATAGACTGATGTCCACTGCTGGACAAAGGCCTCCCCCAAGGTTTTCCATAAAGACAGGTCCTGCGCCGCCCGCATCCAGACACCTCCCGCGACCTTCATCAGATCGTTGGTCCACCTAATGGAGGCCTAGATTATTCCTTACGTGTTTTGTAATTACCGAGGTTAAAATACTGGTGTCAAACTTGAGAGCCACCATAGGTCTTTGGTATTACTCTCAGATCATAGAAAGAGAATAGATATGAAGTCGCGCGTAACTACAACGAGAACCAGTGTCCCCACATTTCCCCCACCACAGCTCCCACACACACATTCAACTGTGTAAAAACAAAGCGACTGAGAGTCTACGACAACATGTGCAACCGGCTTAAAAGTGCTGTGATTGGCCAGAAGGCGTGCCTTATGGCCGAAGCAAAGATTATCCGCACGCCTCTGGCGGCGAAATTTAGAAACTCTCTAAGAACGACACTTTGTTTGTTTATTTGTTGAGGTTATGTTAGATTATTCAGATGGATCACGATTATTTAAAGAAACCTGTTGCTAATAAAAGCAGAAATACGAAATATTGTTGCGTTCCTCAATGTAGTACTTACGGAGATACGGGAATAAGTTTTCATTTATTCCCAAAAGACAAAATAATGAAGAAAAAATGGAAGACTGCTTTAAGAATAGGCAAGCCAATTTCACCATCAATGAGAGTTTGTTCTCATCATTTTCAAACTTCAAACTTTTTTCCGGGCAGTAAGTATATTTATGTTTTCTTTATTTCATTTTACATAAATTATATTTATAAGTTATTCATTTAGTTTACGCCAAGGCGAGTTTCTCGTCAGATAACGAGATTATTTTATTGTTCCAGATTCTAAAAGGCAGAAGTTGTTTCCTTATGCCGTACCGTCTCAGAATATTCCTAAAATAAGCTCTGATAAAGAAGTACCATTAGTGCAAATAAAAAAAACAATTGCTCGAGAAAATAGGGCTGTTATTAGACACAGGAAAATAGTGGAATCAAATAAAGAGGTTGGACTTGCTATGGAGAATGAAAAAACTAAATTTGAGGATAATAATATAACTGATAACAACAGTCATCATCATGTCAAGACTTCATCGACACAAGTCAATTTAGTGGATTACAGAAATTATCGTCCCCGAGAAGATTGGAGTTTAGCTGACATTCTTTGTGACAAAGAACCTTTGGAAAAGTGCACTCAAATAAATTTTCTTCCTATGTGGGAAGAGGATAGATCAGCTTTAAAGCAATTAACCCTCTCAGATTTACTTAGTAGTGATATGTATTTATTTACTTTTACGGGTATTCATTCAATAGAACTTTTAGAAACATTGGTGACTTGTGTTAGTGAATTGGCCTTAGATGCTCCAACAAATAAGAAAATGTTATCTGTAAGAGACAGAGTTATTTTGACAATGGTAAAAATTAAACAAAATATGTCATAAACCAGCGATAAATTGTGGTTTTGGATGGGGCTTCATTACCAAATGCAGAAATCATCCGGTCAACACACTGTTTTTGTGTTAAACCACTTCAAAAGTCATAATAAATCATCGCTCTTGAATTTTCTCGAGTCAATTCCATTTTCTCAACGACTAAACAAGTTTGACAAGACCTTGTGATACGACCGAGAATCTTTTTTTAAATAAATAAATGGTATACGATTTTTAAAACCCTGGAGTTTGCAATTAAATAGATTTTAATATGACTGGAACAGTGGAAATATTCCATTCCCGATACTTTTAGTGCAGCCCTCGTAGTAGATCTTGCCACTCGGTGAAGTGCCTCTAATGTGTGCAAAGAATCTCCAACAGCTACAAATCTCAAAGTGATTTCTAATTTAACTCTAGCAGGAATAGCATCTCGAAGATGTGTGTCCCGCTTTTGTATAGAGATTTAAAAACAATCTGTTTTGTTTAATGTCCTCTTTTGGAGCATATAAAACGTGCGTTTGGGACATTGATGTTTTCGCCCATTGGTACAAACGCTCGGGTGTAGTGATCGCTTTGTCTGACGCCGACTGTAGACTAGCTCGAGTTGCCAAACGTTTCAAGTTGCCCCCAAGTCCATCACATGGCCCTTTGCCATGAGAAGTGGCATGAAAATGAAACTCTACATCTGTTCTGAAATCCTGTTTAAAATAAAACAGGTTAATAAAATTAAATCTATTTTTGAAGTGCTGTGGTGCACCATCAGTTACATAAATATATTTATTTGTGGATATACTCTTTTCTTGTAAATGTTGGTGTAAAATTTTTTGGAAGGTATAGAAAGTTGCAGTGTCATGTTTTAGGTCATCCGATATCATCACAATACTTCCGTGTTTTAACTCTTGCTCCTTTTTGTAATAATACACAGATGTCAGGAGAGTGGCCTGGTAGTTATTCCAGTGAAATGACTGGGCAGCGTCTTGAACCACGAAGCTGTAGTTTTCAGCAAAATCGCACTGGATTATTATGTCACCCTCTGAAATCGACTCTTTTAACAATTTAAAATACTTAGTTTGCTGATCTGATATGTAGGCGTGAGGTTTTAAAATGTCTAATCCTGAGCAAAGACTGTCGACAAATTCATCTGAAGAAAGAACTTGAGTGGCGATTGTGAAACGGTCTGTACCAACCCAAGTATTAAACTGCACACTAGTGACTTTATTTGCGTCAAATATGTTTTTTAAGTGTTCTTGAATTCCGACAAGGCCAGGACAACTGTTGCATTGTTCGTTCAGCGGTAATTTTCTTGTCAGTAAATGGCAAGTTGGTGTCGGTTCTGGACACATCATCTTTTGCAAGCAATAGTTCAGTCATTATAGTAAGTTCACCTCGGAATGCGAGATACCCAGCTGTAAGTCTGTAAATACGTGTATATTGACACCCTAAAAGTTGTCTCAAAACCTACATATGGTAGGGTGTAAGCAACTATTAAATTTCAAGGTCAACGGTCACAAAAATCGGTTTTTTGCGCTTTTTTTTAGAAATATCTCGTTTCCTATGGGTTTTTTGCTATTTGTATTTATTATCAATATTGTAGAATACTAAATTCTCTACAAATTTCGTTTATAAAATGTTTTTATACGGTGAACCGTTTTAGTGAAGAACTCTCACTTCTTTGAAGATGTTTTAACATGCCGCGAAGAAATAATACTACCATCATCTCCGACTAAATCTACTCAACCGAGCTCATAGTCAACTGATACTAAAATTGAAGATGATATTAAATGCAAGGGCAAAGTGGTTGTTCTTGCTGATGAAAAGCTATCGGACATAACAAAACAAAAAGTGAACCTAAAGCAGTGCAAAAAAATTGATAAATCTACAAATTTAAAGGTTTTAAAGGTAAAGAATGAGCCCATAGCCTACACAAGTGAAATTTCGGAATCTCCCCACTGTATCAGCTCAGCTACTGATGTCTTTGCGCTTCTACGCGCTAGGCACAATGCTGATATCAGTAGCTGACTTTGTGGGAGTATCAATTGCTACAGCATGCAGAATAGTGCGCGACATCTCGTAGCGGTCTCGAGACTTTATGATCGATATATTTTTATGCACCAGAACAGCGCTGCAAATTTTTACACGATTGCTGGGTTTCCTCGCGTGCTAGGTGCAATAGACTGCACACATGTACGCATACAATCGCCTGGTAAGTTTGTACATCATATTGTGATAAAATGTAATGTTCGTTAATTTGTGGACAGTAATTTTATCTATTTTTTATTTTTAGGTCATCTGATAGGTGAAGAATTTAGAAACCGGAAAGGTTATTTTTCCCTCAATGTACAGTCACGGAATGAAAAGGTTCGTCAGTTTTCAAATTGATTCCTTCAACGAATCGCGAGCACATACCTATTACCTTTTGAAACTATGTTACAGAATAATCTCGAGTTAGAGAAAATAATCTTTAACTGTTCATCAGTAAAGTTCAAAATTATTCAGATCTAAGTTGTTTGACGATTTATCTTGTCAAGATTATATTGATAAATATAACCTTCTTGTTGGTTTAACTTGCCATTATTATATCTATTAAATAAAAAAACTACATTCTGTAACATTGCATGGGATAGAAAATTAAACAAGCAAAACCTTATTCATTAGCAAACGTCATATTTATTTAAATGTTAGCAGCACTGTTTCTTGCACTGTTATGTTGGCAGGTTTGACTCTTACTTACAGTACCTCTAGTAGGAAAAACTTTCGAGTTCGTTTCGTTGCGTATTCAAAGTGTCATCGAAAAATTTTGTATGAAAAATTAAACAGCGCCCCCTATATTATAGCCGCCCTAGGGGGCGCTGTTTAATTTTTCATACAAAATTTTTCGATGACACTTTGAATACGCAACGAAACGAACTCGAAAGTTTTTCGTACTAGAGGTACAGTACCTAGTACAAGCGAAAACCGACACTAAGGTGACGAACCTTTTCATTCCGCGACTGTACAAGCTGTTTTTGATGCGGATTTACGCCTAATGAATGTTGTTGCTCGGTGGCCAGGGTCTGCACATGATGCCACCATATTTAACAACTCTATGCTAAAGGGTAGGTACCTAAGATATGTATAATATGTGTTCAGTGGCTGGAGTATATATATTTAATGAAACCCCTTTTTTAAATTTCATAGCTCAATGTGACTCCGGAGAATTTGGAAACCGGTGGTTGCTTGGCGACAGCGCTTATCCCAACACTCCATATAATTTACTGACTCCTCTTTTGAACCCCAGTACAGTGGGTGATCATCGATGCAATGAAGCCCATATTAAAACAAGGAACACAATTGAACGGTAATTATTTTCATACTTATATTATACAAATAAGTACGTACATTGACCAGTACGTGTTGCCAGTGGTCACTTACTAAGAGCCTCATAAGAAAGTTCAAGGTCACCCAAAGGGTGGAGCGTGCTGTGCTCGGAGTTTCCCTGTGTAATCTAGTCAGAAATGAGGAGTTCCGCAGGAAATCGAAAGAGAAACCAACATAGCCCGCAGGATTGCTAAATTGCTAAGTAGGTGCTATAACTACTTATTAAGCTTCTTATTGTTTCAGAACATTTGGAGTATGGAAACGCTGGTTTCCAGTAATCAGCTTAACATTGCGACTATCACTGCCTAATATCCAAGCAGTAGTCGTAGCGACAGCTGTACTGCACAACATCTGCAGGAACATGAATTTATACAGATAACAATCTGACGGACCCAGCTTTTCGACTTTGGATGAACTGAGCAAAATCAAGATGTTTTGGAAAACCTTAAAACCCACGCTGTAGTAAAAATAACATCTGATGCTACTGAAAATACAGATAACAATCTGACGGACCCAGCTTTTCGACTTTGGATGAACTAAGCAAAATCAAGATGTTTTTGAAACCAAAAACCCACGCTGTAGTAAAAAAACCATCTGATGCTACTGAAAGTACTGATAACAATATGACGGACCCAGCTTTTGGACTTTGGATGAACTGAGCAAAATCAAGATTTTTTTGAAAACCAAAAACCCACGCTGTAGTAAAAATAACATCTGATGCTACTGAAAATACAGATAACAATCTGACGGACCCAGCTTTTCAACTTTGGATGAAATCAAAAAGTTTTTGAAAATGAACAGTCAGACACAGAAAGTGTTTGACTGTTAGTACATGTTCTATAAATTATAACTGTTATGTTTGTGCACAGGTGGTGGTCCTCCAGAACCAGATCCTAGAAAAGAGGATTCTGAATACTTGAGGATCATAAAGTTTAATTAAGACCAGTGCAGTTGGTTTACATAATCCGTTTGATGGAGATAGTTTGATTCCGGTGGCGAATGACATATAAAACATGCCAATAATCACATCTTCAGAATGATGAAATTTGGCATAGAGATAGTTTGAGTCCCGGGAAAGGACATAGGATAGTTTTTATCCCGGTTTTTGAAACAGGGTCTCGCGCGATAAAGTTTTTCTGTGACAGATAAATTTCCACGCGGGCGGAAAGCTAGTTAATTTATATCTGTTAATTCATAAAAATGTTTAAGGCGCGAGGCCCCTTGTATCGCGAGGCTGTAGGCGGAGGCCCACGTCGCCCACGTCTTACGTCGCCACTGCTCCCTGCTTCGGGATGTTCAGCGAAAGCTGTCACTCCCTGAAGCGCTGCGCTGCTCCAAGAATGGTGCCCATGCCTTTCGACGTAAAGCGCTTGCGCACGCAAGTGTATTTCTCTAGCGTCGTCGTAGAAAACGTACATATATCCAGGTACTCCTGGGCTGAGTCCCGGTACGGCTTTCTAAAACTTTTTACAACAAATCCAATTCCAGTCACTCTTGCAATAGGATCCAATCCATGGCATTGCGTTCGGAATCGATTTATCCTATTATTAATTAAAAACTGAGCCAGTCTGTTAGGCATTTCTTTTCTCTCTATAGCTCTGTTTAAGATTACTTCGGTAAC